CTGCACTAAACTGGGCAACTGGTCCCCAAATTCTCCCGCGCCTCAGACAGCATCGCCTCTCCTGAAAGCAGACTGCAGTAACTCCTTCGCTGCGAAAGTACAGCTGCATTATGCCTTAAAAACTGTCCTCCCAGAAGCCTTTTTACAAATCTTAACAGGTTGCCCAGCACAATATACGTGTGTAGGTGGTCACAACGTTACAGCGGGATACCTCCAGCTCCTCAGACGGAGATGCAGGACATGTGACACGGTGTAAAGATCAAAATGGCTTCACAAAAAGGGAACAAGCTTGAGGCCAGCAGTCAGGGGAACTTTTCAGCTCCTAATCTCTGAACCCTGTAAGTGGTGAGCTTTCTGACAGAAACTAGTGAGCAAAGCAGTTTATAGGTGCAAGGCCTTTACTGACCAGCAGGGGTCAGACGTGTACATACTGCTCATGTAAGCAAACCTGATTTGACTTACCACCTCCAAACAGCGGCAGCACAGGTGTGGCTCGAAGGCTTAAACAACTCGGCTACTTACTACACATCTTGAAACTATATACAGGAAAGCAGTTTAACACTCAACCCTGAACACACCATTTAAAACTTTCAGTATGTCTCATTGGTCGCATGATCAACGTCTGTTCCTGACCTCAGAGCCAATTAAAATAGTAGTCAGGTTGTACAGTATTGATATGACTAAGATACTGCCTATGTTACTGCTTCCTGAAGCTTAAAAGGCAAGTGGTTTCTTCTAGGCCATGTGTATACAGTATAGAAATATATGATCCCAAAAATGTAAAACTTTCTCTTAGCATGCATACACTTACGAAGAGGTATATACGTAAAAATGGGGATAAAAATGTCCATCCGCTCTCCTTATCTTGCGGGACAGCTCCGATTTTCTTCAGAATAACCACACTAACTCGTCGCCCGGCCCTGCGGCCCGCCAGGATCAACAGCCTTCCCCGCGAGGCCAGGCAAGCGAGCGCTGGTCCCGGCAGGCTATGAGCAGGCTCTTCCCCGGCATGAACGCCCTCCTCCCCCTCCTCTTTGTTTTCAGCTCATCTACAAACTACCGAACCCAAGTTTATTAAAAAAAAAGAGTGCTTCCTGGAATTGTGTGCAGAAATGATAATTTATTGTTTGCCAGGCCGAACACCCCCCAAGCGCCACCGTGTGCTGCTCTGTGGGTTCGTGTGTGTGTTTGTGGGGAGGGTGTTTGCCAACAGTCCCTGATTAAGCTAAATGGGTTGCCTCAGGCGATCTCCCTCTGGTTTCCATGGCAACGCACGTTAACACCGGAATTAGGGCATCCTCTCCTGACAGGAGCCAGAGAGGGCTGGGAGAGAGGGAGGGGTGTGCGAGTTGGGTCAGCCAGCCTGCCTCTGTGTGTGTGTGTGTGTCTGGCTGGGAGGTGGGCCACTGCTGGACAGAGGCTGCCTAGAGCTGCCCTGACGTCCGGCCACTCTCTCTGTCCAAACTGCGCGGCCTTTACCTCAGCTTCCAGGCTGGCACCCAGGTACCCAGGTACCCGGGCCCCTGCCCTCTGCTCCAGACCCCCCAGGGATCCAGTGACCAAGGGGGCTCATGCCCCTCGACCCCCCCCAGCCAGCACACAGACTCTCCTTCCTCAGCCGCGACACCAACATGCCAAGACGTGACTGCAGAGAAGTCCACACTCGCATCAGGCCGCTGACTGGGGACGCCTCTTATCTCAAGCTCTTCTTCCACAGAAGAATTAACACTGACTATCTGCAGCGTTCCCCCGAGGGCCAGCGAAGCCTTAAATAAATGATAACTTCTGGCTTCAGATGCTACGCGCGCTCGGAGACGTGTATGCACTTTGAAGACGAGAGCGAGGCCTTAAATTTATAATACAAAAAAACATCAAAGCTCCGAAGCGCGAGGCATGCTGAAGTCTGTCTTTAAATATTTACACATCTGGGAGACCCTCATTCCCACCTGACATGCGGGGAACGGCGTAGTTGTGTTACTGCTGCTTTCTCAGAAAGATGTCAGACGGGTTCACAGATAAGAAGAGGCCATTGGGCACATCTGGCCCATTTTCTTGTTAATAGCTAATTGATTGGAGGCTCTCGCCCAGCTGTTTCCTGAAAGAAGTCAGGGCTTTGGCTTCAACGACATGGCTGGGCAGCTAGCTTGTTCCACGCTCCAGCACTCTTTGCATAAAGATGTAATACACTGACACACAGTTCCCAGTTGTGCCCTCTGGTTTGTGTTTTACTCTGGCTTGTGTTTTGAAGCGTTTCTGAGGATTTTGAATACCTGGGCAAGGTCTCCTGCACTCTCCTCTGTACGAAAGAGTCTTTCAGCCTTCGGTGTGAGACACCTGCCTTCCGCCGATGGGTAAACTCCCCTGCATGCTTACAGCCCAGAAACACTAAGCTTGTAATGAAGCGTAGAGACTGTGTGGCTTCTTTAAGGAAATTGTTAATATTTAAAGGGGGGAGTGGCAGTAAATGGATGGCGTCAAGTGGAGGGTATGATTTCGGTTTAAAAATTTGTAGTCTTGAAGTCTGTAATTAGGGAAAGGCTGAATCAGGGCAATTGTGAAGGAAATGTGCTGACAGTCAGCTTGTCTGGATACACAGCAAGCCTTGGGGACTGGAGGAAAATCAGGCAGAAATGTCCCCTTCTGTCCTGACTGTGGGGAGAAAAGTCATTTCTCGCGCCTCTCCAGACTAGGAGAGTGGAAACGGGCCCCGGCTAACCCACAGCATTCTCCAACAGAGCCGCCAGCAAATTACCTTTCTCCTCTCCTGCTATTTCAAAACGCATTCTCCCCGAGACAGACAGCACGTCCTCTCAGCTGTAAGGCTGTTCTGACTGAGTGAGCTTACCCGTCTGATGAAAGCAGAAGACTGATAACCAACAAAATGTATCATTTACTCAGTCACAGCTGCCGAATTCAGTAAAGCACTGATACTTCTAAAACCTTATGTTTTTTTTTTTTTAAATAGAAACAGTCATTCTGAAGACTGTCCAACAATTTCGTGCGTCACGTGACTGAAACCCCTCGGTCCAACTGCCAGCAGGAGCAGAGCCCACAATACCAGAGGGAACGCGTGTGGTTTCCTGAACGAATGTGGTGGGGGAGGTTCTTCCCCAAGCCAGTACCACTCGCGCACTGCAGATCTCTGCAGATGCTGAGGTTCGGAAAAAAAAAAAAGATTTCCAACGAATGCAATTTTACAGCCACCGTTCAGATCCTTGAGAGCACCGCCGTGCAGCTCTTCCTCTGCCTGCAGCACCTGCGGCCTTGCTACTTTCTCACTTGACATCGATCGAACGGCGAGCCTCTGTCTCCCTCCCGCCCGTGACCAGCAGCAGCACCAGCAGTCGGACCTGTGTTTCCCCTCACTGGAGATAGGCAGACAGATGGGGAGGAGGGTAACTGACTGTGCAAGCTCAGACGTACCAGCAGCAAGCAAACGCTGGATGCAGCCAAGCAAGGTACGCTCAGAGGAGTGAATTTTCAGATTTGGCCTGTGTGGAGCCGGTAAGTAAGTCCTTAACCAGCAGTATTCAGTGGGGCTTGAAGGGTCCTCAGCAAAGACGAATCATCTATACAATGATTACCGACCTCTTAAGGAGGCCATGAACTGGTTTGTTTGACTTGTTCCTTTTTTAGATCGGTGTAGTTCAACTGATCTATGAATGATATGAAGGAACTAGTAGAGATTAAATCCGCACTAAAAAAAAAAACATCGTTTCAGCTCCTGAGTCTTCTGGTGTGAGGTCCCGGGCTGTTCAGTGTGGAATTAACCTCTTCTTGTTTCTTTGCAGCCGATGAAGCAGTGGAGCAGCTCCCTGCTTGATCCTCCTGTAAACCTTGCTCATGAAATAAATAGGATTGTCCTACAGGTACAAGCTAAACGGTATTACAAGTGGATGTCAGTCCGATCATCCTTCAGATGCGAATACCGATCCGTCTTAACATCACAGGAGCCTGCGGCTGGGTTCTGGACAACGCGAAGCGATTCACTGTCATGACTCGAAGATGAGCAGGATATCATTGCTTTGCTCTAGCACAGCCCAACCCCCACGCCCCCCCCCTCTCTGCCCTCCCGGACCACTGCTGCTCAGCTGCCGAGCCGCCGAGCCGCAGCCAGGAAAGCAATCTGAGCCCCTATTACAGAGCGCGCCCCGACACAAAGGCGGTCGAGACGACTTCACAGAGCAGCAATTTCACAGCCATTACTGGGGGTCACACGGGAGGCGGCTGGGTCAGACCTCTCACATCAGAGGCAACGTACGGGCTCTGCAGCCTCCCAGGGCTCGGGGAATGCCTTCCAGCACCAAAAACAGACAACCCCCCCTTCGTATACACACGCACCCACACCCTGCTCCAGGCCCCCTCCTCACCCACGGCTCTCCATCAGCGGTGTGGGCGCTTTCTCAGCAGCACCAGTTGCTCCAGGTGTGCGCTTCCTGCACACTCAAACACACGAGCAGCTCGCTGGGGGCCTAGCTCCGCCGCAAGACATGAGGCTCTCTACAAAACATCGTCAGGCCCTCCCATTCCCCGGAATCAGGCGGGTCGGGTCGGAACTGCCTCTGCGCGTCCACTGACTCGGAGCGTTCCCACTTCCATCCCGAGATTCCTCAGGGAAGGCGAATGACCCCCCCTTGTCCAAACCATCCCCGTCCCGGCGCTTTCGGACACCAGCAGCTTCCTCTCCCGGCGCGCCTGGCTGGAGCAGCTGTGCCCCGACCCACACAAGCACACAGGAAGAACACGCAAACTCCCCACAGACAGGCACCCCCACACACACACAGCTGGAAGTAAACGGAGGAGACTGGAGACGCGAGGCAGGAGAGCTGATCCAGCCCTGGCACTGCGCCGCCCCCCGCAGGAAACTGGCACGGCGCATGAAGAACTCCCGCAGAAGCCTGGCAGCCAGCGAGATGAGGAGCAGCGGGAGGAATCACAGGAAACAGGAAAGCAACGGCCCGAGACGAAGCAGAGAGGAAGAGGCCGGCCCCGCCACCTACCCTCCTCGGCGTCGTTGCGAGCGGAGGCCTCCAGCAGGGCCACGCTGGCGCTGAAGGAGACACGCTTCCGGGGCCCCGGGGGGGCGGGGCGCCGCCTGTCCGCCTTGCGCTTCCTGCTCTGCATCTCCTTCTCGTACAGCGCCCAGCGCTTCAGCTGCTGCGCCCGCCGCCTCTGCGCCGCCCGCAGGCGCTCCAGGCTGGGCATCTTCTCCAGCTCGCCCGGGAGCTCCCCGTGGCTCGCCATGGCAACGCAGGAGGGGGGGTGGCCGGAGACACAGGTCCTCAGGCAGGTGGGGGGCTACTGGGGGCTCCTCCTCTCCGCTGGGCTGCTGCCGCTGCCCATCGTTCACCAGGGCTCAGCAGGGACCCTGGAGGGGAGGAAGAGAAGCACAGTGAGACCCTGGCCGGACACTCCGCCATGGCCGAGCACTGCTGGGCGCACTGCTGAGACACTAAAACCCACGGCCAGGTGGCCCGGGAGTCTCCGGGTCCGGGTGGGAACACGCTCGCTAGAGAGGAATAGTTACAGTGGAATGGACTGCTCGGGAGCGAAGGCAATCGATCGTGGACGCCCCCTCTGTTTGTTCAATTAGCATCGCATCAGTCCCAGAGAAACCAGGCCCTTCCTCCTCGCTCCGCCACCCAGAGGCGACAGCAGAGCAGGCACACGGGCCCCGGCTCAAGGAGACACAGGGACGGGCACCGCGGTGTACAGCGTGTTAAACCGGGACAGAAGAGACCTTTCGAACAGCTGTTGCTTTTCAGCGCCCTACCGACCGAGGGGGGTGGTGGGCTGTTCTAGGACTGAACGGCTCCGCGACGTCATCTAGGCGACCGCGTCAAGGTGGCCGACTTGGCAAAAAGAAAGAAGGAACGAAAGAGAGGCCGAGAGGCGACAGCGATCTGGAGCGTCAGAAGCTTCCGCTTGTGCAGCAGAGCCCTGTTCACCTGGCCCGCATCCTGTCAGGGCAGGCGGAGAGAGAACACTGCGCAGTGCGCGCTGTGGCCGGCTAACCACTTCCTGTTGTCTCTGTCCGGGTACGCTGCACGCTAGGCGCCTGCTAGCTGCCCGCCAGCCAGGCACGTGCCCAGTCTGCCCAGGCCAACAGCACGGGGAGGGCAGGAGCCCCCCAGCAGCTGGCGCCGCGCGGAGAGAAACTACAGCACGAGCCCCCGGCCGAGACACGAGCCTCAACCGGGTTCCGCTTTCGCTTCACCTGAGCGCTCTTGCATACCTGCTTCACCTTCCTGCACGAGGCATTTTCAACACAAGGCCCAGGCGCCTGCCGTGCAGAGCCTCTGAAAGACCTTCCGAAAACTCCTGAGCACGTCTAGAGGACAAAATCATCAGGTGAACTGACTCCTCAAGGTGGGACAAAAAGCAGTGCTCCTCCAGAAACAGTCCGAGACACCCACCCTCAGATCCCAGTATCGGGCCACTGACCTTACTTTCATCTGCTCCTGGTTTGGACAAACCTTTTATTAAAACTCTAAATCCAGCAACATTATTCTATGCTTTTCTGACTGACCTACTTTTTATGCTCTCGCTTCAACTGCTCCCGGCCTTCACCTCTCCTGTGCCTCAAACACGAACGAGAACAACTTTCAGAGCTCCAGCTTGCAACCTGCAGGCGGCTGGGAGAGCTCACTGCGCTAAAACATTAATGCTGCAGCTCGGTCTGGAAAGAACACAAGGCAGTATGCACTTAAAATCAAATGGCCAGCATCTGCCATATTGAAGAAGGTGCAGAAATGTGGTCTTGAATTAACCGCTTCCCATATCCAAGCTGTTTAGAAGAAGCTTGCTCAAGTCAAGAAAGGAAGTTGTCATTTTTAAGACGACGTTTCTTGTGATAGTGCACAGGAAGCATAGCCTAGGACCAGGAGATGTTCTACAGAACCCAAGAACAAAGACTCTCAAGTTCACCTCGTCCACCAGGCAGCCTCAGTGTCTTCTGATGGGTTTTACTGAATCTGCTCTTAAGAAGCAAGTCTGAGTTACAAATAAATGGCTGCGTGCTAAGGGTACCAAGACAGCCCGGTCTCCCGGAGCCAGACACGAGGCAGAACCGCTAACCGGGCTCCTCTCTGGAGACAAAAGCACCCTTCAGAGCAGAGCGCTCTGCTGGAGAGAGGGCCAGCGTGGTGGCAGAGAGGGAGGGGAACCGCCTGACAGCTGCCCTGCATCTGGTCTTGCCCCCACCAGGAAGGAGTGGCACGAAACAGGAAAAAAAAGAGAACACAACAGCCCTGAAATCTGTGTTTTTCAACCTTTTCCCTCTCACAGCACCCAGCTACAGCAGATGAATAATGATCTAAACAAAAGTTCAAGGTTTAATCTGGGCTGGCTTTGAAGTGCACAGACAATCCTAGACCAAACCTGTCCGGACTTCTCCTTTTCCTTCAAGGCACTGCCAGTGGATCACTAACCCGAGGGTCAAGGAAGAAGTACACTGAAAACCGAGAACAGGAGGCACTTCTTTACACAAAGGTTTGTGGGAGTGTGGAACAAGCTACCCAGCCATATCCCTGATGCCGAGACCCTGGCTTCTTTCAAGAAAAAGGTGGGTGGGATGCTGGGAGTGATTAACTACTAATCGCCAAACGTGCTATATGGGCCTCTTCTCATGGGCCAAATTTCTTCTGTACTTTCTTCCATTCCTCTCAATGACATTTCGTTTGAAATTTCAAAGGGGGTCGGCTTCTTTTGTCTTTGTCTAGTCGTTCACCAGTGACATCAGAAAAGCAGGCGCTATGAGACCTGCGCTCCACACTTGCTGTCAGAAGATACAGATGGCCTGTTCCGCCTCATCTCCTCAAAGCCCAGACAGAAAAAAAACAGTCGTTCGTTTTTCATCAGGCCCTGAAATCAACAGACAAGATTATTTCTCTTATTTTAACATACACGCTAAATTATATTATGAAGATGCAGCGGGGGTCTGGGAGCGCACTGATCTAATCAGCTCCTGAGAGTGATTGCGCTGTCTGGTGTGCACGGCACAGGGACGGGCAGCTCCCAGCTCCTGCTGCAGCTCAGTCAGAGTCCCCATTCTCTCCTTCTTCCCGATCCAGTGTTTATGAACCCCCTTTCCCCAGCGCCCCGCATTCTGACAGTGGGAGAGGAAGCCGCACAGCCCAGAAAAACCAGAGCAAACACAGCGTGATGTGTGTAAGACGCGCAGGCGCTCTCGGAATTACAAAGGGGCACAGAAGACAGCTGAGAATAGCTCGGCTGCCAGGCCACAATGGTAATGACCTTAGTGTCCAGGAATAGGATGGGGTGGGGAAAGGCCTAAAGTTAGCCCAGAGAAATCCCATTGCACTGAGAGGGAAGGACTAAACATCACAAACCAAGGATCTTAAGGGAGATCCCAAAACAGCTCCAGGGAGGGCTCGGAGAGCTGAGCCAGCCCCACCAGCAGCGCTGCACACACAGAGCAGACAGGAGCGCAGACGGGCCACTGCAGTGCAGATGCACAAGGAAGCCTTCAGGGCCCTGTGTCCCGAGAAAGAACCATCCCGAACCCGGCACGTTTTCACCCCTTCATGGTTTTCATTATTCATCACAACAAAAGCATTATTTCACTCTTTCTGTCTTGCTCCTTCGTGACCTTCTCCATGCAAAACACACTAAAAAACATCATTTGCAACAAGGAAACAACGATCAGGGAAAAAAAAAAAAACTTCCGTTCAGCTTCTTCAATGTAAATTACTTCTGTGTTTCCCTGTAATCTTTTCTGGGGTTTCAATTTTCTTCTCCTTTTTTACCTTAAGAATGCGCCTCGCTGTCTTAAGACTTTTCACAGAAATACTGCAGCAGAGCTGCTGGATCTCCGCCACGCAAGAGAGCTGGGGGCCTTTTCGGCTGAACTCCTGCAGCTGTGCACATCTGTAACACCGAAAGGCGCTGGCAGGGCAGACCCCAGTTTTGGAGTCGTTTTCTTTTAACTTTCTTAACCAGGTCAGTCAACCCGAAACACAACAAACACTCGCCAGTGGACCGATGTCGAAACGACGGGGAAGTACATTTCTTCTAAAGAGAAGAGGAGGCAGTTCTTTACACAAAGGGTGGCGGGAGCATGGAAGAAGCAAACCCAGCCACATTGTTACAGCCGATAACCTGGTGTCTTTCAGGAAATGGCTGCCCCAGTAGCCCCCCACCCCCATCTTCACCTTCCCTTCCTCCACAGGTAACAATCCCATAATTATCTGACGCCTTATTCCCGTCATTTGATAAATGCCTCGACTGAGCTGTCTTTTTAATTTTAAATACCCCCCCCCACCACCTCCCAGGTCTCTCTCTTGCCACTGCTTAGCGAGGTGCACCTGCTCAGGCGGGAGCTCGCCGGCCCTTGAGCTCTGGAGACCTCATCCACCCGCGGGCAACCTTCAGCAGGAAAAGATCTTATCCAGATAACTGCTTCCTCTTGCAAGCACGGACAGAGGGCCCCCCCCCCGAGCTGGCTGGAAGAGCGGCCGTGACTCTGCCACAGTTAGTGTAGGGCCAGCTGCTCCACTGACACGCAGGAGGTGGCTAAGGCCAGGAACCACAAGCTCACCGCCTGACGCCACCCCCCACCGAAGACAGAAGAAGGAGCAACATTCGTCCCTACTGCCTTGCGAATGCAGGCACCCATTTCTGCCCCGGGCCACACATGTGCTCAACAACTGCCCCCTTCAGCAGGAGGGAGAGGAGCAGGGGGATGGAGTATGGCTGTATCTGACAGCCATATCCGCAATCTCAGAACCCCCCCCCCTTCCCCACACATACACACCCCGGAATGTGATTTGACGAAAATTTGACGAGTCCTGTCCTTGAAAAAAACACAAAAAAAGACAATCACACCCCCTTTGTAATTGTGCTGCGCACGCAGGAAGCACAGACTTTCATTACTGGAGATTAAGCCTGGGTGAGGTTTTCTGTCAGTGCCAAATAAACAATTTAATCTCAATTTTGTGTTATAAGGCTTAAAAGAAAATCCACTTAGGCAGGCAAAATTACACTGCAGTAGCAGCAAAAACAAAAGCACCTTCTGTCGAAGGGAAAGCCGAGAATTCCCTCTGGCTGAAGGCTGAAAGTACAACCCGACCTCTCACCTTCACACCCCCTAAACCTCTGCCTGACCCCTCACCCTGAACTCCACGCGACCTTGCCCAGGCCAGGCCAGGCCCAGAGGGTTCCCACACTGCCTCCCCAGGCCTGGTGGAAACGCACGGGGAGAAAGACCACACCAGCACTGCTGAAACACTGCAATTCAACAGCAGCACGGGAAATGAGCAGTTTCAGGGTCCCATGGATGGGCCTTGCAAGCGACCACACAGCAGTCCCGCGTGGAGATCCGAAACAGGCACGGGATGGCCGACAGGA